TTTGTGTTATGACATCAAAGCATAATGGGTACAAATATCTTAAATGGGTATCTGAGACAAAAATTGGCGTAGTAACCCAGTGTTGCTTGTCTCCTAATGCCAACAAGGGACAGGATCAATATCTTGCAAACCTCTGTATGAAGATAAATGCAAAACTTGGGGGCAGCAATATGGAACTTATGGATAGACTCCCTAATTTTGGAAGTGAAGACAATGTCATGTTCATTGGAGCTGATGTTAATCATCCTGCTGCAAAGAATGTGACATGTCCATCCATAGCAGCTGTTGTTGCCACCGTCAACTGGCCAGCTGCTAATAAATATGCCGCTAGAGTTTCTCCACAGGAACACAGGACTGAAAAGATTCTAGAGTTCGGGAAAATGTGTAAAGACCTAGTTCGTACTTATGCGGAACTCAATTCGGTTAAACCAAACAAAATTGTTGTTTTCCGTGATGGTGTGAGTGAGGGTCAGTTTGATATGGTACTCAATGAAGAGTTGGTTGATTTGGCGAAGGCTATATACGACAGTAACTATCAACCAGCAATCACTCTTGTTGTGGCTCAGAAGAGACACCATACACGACTATTTCCTGAGGGTGGCCCTGCCAATGTGCCTCCTGGTACTGTTGTGGATACAATAATTGTTCATCCATCTGATTTTGACTTCTACCTTTGCAGCCACTTTGGAGGGTTGGGTACCAGCAAGCCAACTCACTATCATGTTCTATGGGATGATAATGGTTTCAATTCTGACCGCTTACAGAAGCTTATATACAACATGTGCTTCACTTTTGCACGGTGCACTAAACCGGTTTCACTTGTTCCACCAGTTTACTATGCAGACCTTGTTGCTTACAGGGGACGGATGTTCCAAGAGGTGCTTATGGAGATGAACTCTCCTAGGTCTACAACTTCATCTTCTCCAACTGCCTCATTTCAACAAAGATTTTATGATTTGCACCCTGATTTGCAGGACATAATGTTTTTCGTCTGATGGCAGACCCGTCAACTTTTTGTTCTCCTTCACCATTAATTCCCACTGGGGAGGAGATGGTTGTCTACATTTTGGAGATGCCCATTTCCAAACGCATTTGAACCTCCTTTCCGTCGGACATAGCAAAGGTGTTTGTGCGTGAATCTAATGGGGTTTCATGCTTCTTTTATTTTCTATTGTGTGAGTTTAATCATTGATGTCTTAATGGTTTGGCGTTTGATTGTGTTTTATTTACTTTGGGGGAGGCCACTCCCAAGTATGTCTGCTTAAATTGTGTGTTTTGTATTATGTATTCTGAGACAAGTTGAATTTCGTCTTAATATATTTGTGTTTGAGGTATTTGATGTCTCTCTTTCAGTTATTCAATGTGATTGCATTTTCTCACTTCCGTGTTTTTTCCTCATGGAGCTAACTAATGGGAAAATAGACTTGAGGGACCTTAATATATTCAAGTTAAAAACTAGAAAGACTCGCTCCAAAAATATAGGAAACAAAAATACTTTGAAATACTAGTATAAGGATTGCTAAGGAGTTTTAAACTTGAGATTAACTCGTATCCACTAATCAAGGATAATAAAATTACACGATCAATGTACTTTTATAAATATTGTTAAGTATTTTTATATATTATTAATATTGAAATAAAAATAACATAAAAGAGTATTATAGAGAAACTTAGTAGTTGATTGTTTAGGATTCTTGGCTTATAAAAAATAAGATGGACTTCTTTTACGTCGTCATTATTGGTCACACTTGTCTTCATTACCATTGAAGCAAATGAGGAGAAGAACAAAACGACAAAACAATATCAGAGAGAAAAGGAGAAAGAGATGAGTGATTCACTACGTTAAAGAGAAGACGAAGTGCAGAGGGGAGATTCAAATAAATCTGACAACCTAGAAATGAATCTAATCTAATCTCATGAGGAACAAAACATCATTCCCTATAAAAAGTGAAAATGCCACATCATATGCTCTTTTATTCTAACTAATAAAATTGTCCCCTTCTTTATATTAATTGAATCTTTAATATATGTAATTCTTTTTAAATATAATATAACATTTTAAAAAATATATCATTTAATATACATTACTTTCATCTCGCTCGCCTCTCTTACATCGCGTTCACCACTCTTCTATGTTTCTGAATGCAAATCACACCAGATACATGTGTATAGTGTATATCTACCGTGATTCGCATGTACCTGGAATACATAACAAAATCTCGCTTGCTTCCCTCGCCATCTCGCTCATTTCTCTCCTTATTTTTGTGTATCTGGTAGCAAAAATACATGTATGTAAGTGTATGTTTCTCAGCATATGGTAGAAAATTCTTAATTAGTAGTAATATACACAATATTTTGAAAGTATAGATAATAATAATATATATGATAGTGAAGTACGTCTAATTATGTAATTTTTGTCCGAAATATCCTCAAATAACTTCCAAAAACAAGGCAAAGAGGTTTTATAGTCTTAAAAACAAGGTAAGTCACCTTAGATTATTTGGACAAATAAGGTAAGTTGCCTTAGAAGTTTTGGCCAAATTAGATTTATTCATTTCCTATTTTTTGTTGATTCTCTCTTATACAATTTTATTCTATTGGATTGTCTTTAATATTTTTATAACAATGCGTAATTCTGATAGATAAATATGCCATATTTACCAACAAGGATCGTAGTATATGGAAAAGACCTTTTCATTTTTATCTAAAGATTTCAATTTAATTTTTAAATATGAAAAAATCTCATAACGTAAATTCAGATAGTCAAAGCCTCGATAAGAACACTAAGCATCACGTGAAAAATAAAAAAAATTCAAATTCAATGAATCAAAATAGATAATATATTGACAATATCATTAACTTGTAATGTAATTAATATGGAAGAAAAGTGAACATACCTAATAGAAATATGAATAAAATTCTTACCCGAATTAATATGGAAAGAACTTACAATGCGAATCCGGATAGTTAAAACCTCGATAAAAACATCTAATATCCTATGAAAAATAAGAAATGTCGAATTCCATGAATCAAATCAAATAATATACCAATACTATCATGAACTTGAGACAATATCATCATGCATGAACTTGAAATATAATTCATATGAAAGAAAAGTGAACATATCCTATTAGGAATATGAATTAAATTCTTGTTTGAATTAATATGGAAAGAAACTTGAAATACATCCTATTTACAGTATGAATCAAAATCAGGATGGATTGTGGTGCAGTAATGAAGCTACTCACTCTTCACCAAAGATTTCGAGTTTGAGCTTTGAATAAAAAATAATATGTTAGGACTATTAAAAGCCGAGTGAGAAATAAAAAAAATAGAAAGAATAAAAGATCTCTCCGTATAGATAGAAAATTAATATGGTATAATTTTAATTGCAATGAAAAGCAGATGCTCTTCCACTCTATAAATAGTCACCCCATGAACTCTATGTATTTAGAGGAAATTTTTACTTTACAAACAATCAAAAAATCAAAATCAGCACGGACAAGCAATTAAGAAAATCAAAAACTACTCTTCAGGTACTTAAAACTTTTATTTCATATTTAGTCCAAGTAAATATAAGTACAAGTAAAACATTTTTGAAAGCTTTTATATTTTTCATTACATGTTTTTTCTTTTTCACTTATCAATTTTTTTCCTCCGTTTCATAAGAAATACAAATTGCAAAGTCAACAAATGAATAAATCAAGTATATATCATTTAAGATGGTGTAATCTCCCCTAACACTGGTGATCATTTTGAAGTTTTGACATTATTATTATATATATAAAAAAAATATTTGGAATAAACTTTGAAGTAAAGTAACTGGGAAGAATTAGTACATCATAATTAAAGCAAATATTTTAATTGTTTTAACCTTTAAGTAACTGAGATATGTACTTTTGATCCATCTAATTTTTAATCATAAATTTTTTTACTGAAATAATAATTATTAAACAATTTAATTAACCCATAATATGTCAAGTTATTCCTACTCCACACTTGATGATAATAATGTTTTTTAAAAAGCTAAATATATAATATATTCAATGTAAACGTATTAAAACACATACTTTTTTTTAATTAATCAAAATTAAATTTCCTTAGCAAAAGAATTAAAAAAAAAGAGATTAAAATATTAGTTTTGCAATAACTTAGGGATCCCAAGTGCAATTATCCCTTTTTATTATAGTGAGCAGTTCTTCATATGGTTTGAACTATCAAAAGTTTTATAAAAATCATAAATTATAATTTCTAATTTATAGCTTTATCTTATAAGACATAACGCAAAAGTCAATCTAAACATGATCATTCCTTATTTCGACAAGACCCCAAAGTCTTTACCATTTACACCTTTTTCTTCGATTTATTCGTTCCCTAAGTAAAGCCCTTTTCCGTCATTTAACTTTGCTTAGCGTGTACTCTATAATATATGCTCTTCAGTCCAGTTTTTATAAGCTCCACAACTAGATTCTCCTACTTCACTCTCAAGTTAACGAAAACTGAAGCTTAATATATTGATAGCCCCTTAAATTTGTGAGTAAATATTTATTAAGACACTTATATTATGGTATGTTTCAATTAATTAATATTCAAACACATGATAAAGTGTTTATATTAGATATTTTTAATAACTCATATTTTGGACGTGTCCATTATGTTGATAAGTTAATGACATAAAACTGCCTCATGGCAATTTATACACATCAGCATCATTTGGAACATGCATGAAGTTTTCCTCCTTATTGAGGTTAATGCATACAATTAAAGGAGACGACATATTTTAAATTGTTAGCTTATCTATGTAAAGAACGCTTGAGAACAAGCATAATGGTTTCCTAAAATAATAAGAGATTTTTATCATATTTAGATGTTCAATCAGGACATGCCATAATTCGAGTGTCTTGAGAGAAATTTAATGGCAAGTTTAAGAGGTTGTCGATGTATTCTGCCAAAATTAAAAGAATTTATAGTTGCTAACTTTCTCTTAGTGAAGTTACAAAATGGACCGTGGGAACTACCAATGTGGTGGCAGCGATAACACCGGCAGGGGTGAGCACCAGATAGGAGGTGGAATTCAGCAGCAGCAGGTTGTGGATGGTCCTCCTCAATCTTCTGGTATTAACTCATACCTTGCTTTCTTGTTATTATTATTATTATTATTATTTTGTTAGTATTATTATAATCTATTTTCTTTATATCTTACTAATTGTCTACTGCAAGTTAATATATATGTGGATAGTCATGCAAGCTTTAAACCGTGTTGTCTGCTTTAAGTATGCTTTTATTTGACATTGAACTGAATCAAGATATTGAAACAGAAATAGAAATTGTTTTATTTGCGTGTCTCAGGTAATTTTTTATAAATTCGTTAGAACAATAAAAATTCTATGGAAACATACCTGTAGTGAGTAATATAATGCAACAAATAAGTCTTTTAAAATGTGACAAGAAATACCAAATGAAATGTTTAGAATAATTCTTTTTAAGCAAGTTATTGTAAATTTAATGATTTAGTTGGTTGACTACTTGAACTTACATCTTGTTGGTGAGGAGGGCTTGATTTCTCACCCTTTAATTTGAATATAATAAATACAATGTCTTGAAAAATCTAATAGGAAAATAAATCAAATAAGTATAATTAATGATACAGATAAATTAGAAACTAAGTGTAAAATTATCCATTGATTTCATAAAGTGGACAAAGTATTGTTGGACATTCCAAAATAATATAGTGGACAACTATTGTTGAACGGTGAGAATAGTAAAACAAAGATATAAGTGCTTCACTATTTTAAATATAGCTAGAATGAATAGGACAACGTTCTGTAGGGCATTCATTCATCGAACTAAAAATATCAATTTATATGGATAAAGATGGAGTAATATCCAAAAATATCTTAAAGTTTTAAATTAAATAGTTAGAGATTATGAATTTGAAAAGCATGAGAGCTCTGAATGTTTAAGAACAATAATTTTGAATAGCTAATTAGATAGTATTAATTATGAGAGTAAATATTTGAAACAAACAAAGGAGAAAAATACTAGATAAATTCATTCTTTTAGAAGAATATTTTGTAAAGGAGAAAGTGAAAATGTAACATGTTCTATTTTCTATCTAATCGGTCACTGGCACAAATTAAGATGATCCCATATATAAGACTTAAAATGAAAAAAAAATAAAAAAATGATGATGGTAGAGATTCGTTCTTCTTCTTCTTCTTCCAAATCAAGGAATATTAAAGGTTGAAAAAATAATAATTGCTCTTAAAATTAATTAACGTTAAATTCAAAGACCTCAAGAATATATTAAATTTGTTACAAAAGATTATACAAATGCCAAAACAAAAACAACGTACAGGAAGATCACAATATTGATGTTATTTAACAAAATTCATAATTCAACTTGTGACTCGATACCTTCCCTCTTTTAGCCTTTAGTATATAGTACTATATAATTAAATTTAATAAGATATCATTACTATTTAATATTTAGTTAATTAGACATTTCATAATATTTTGATTTAGTATAGAGACAAAATGATAATCCAACTTTACACTTTGCAACTTCCCACTTTGTATATAATATGATTCATTCTTATATGGTATGTTCGTTCATTTTATGTCTGCATAAGTACACAACTGTTAAAATGCACTGTATTTCTGTGGGGCAGATGTTGATGTGGGGTCCCTGAAAATTACAGAACAGAGTTCATCATCCCTTCCAGAACGTGTACCTGATACTGGAAAAATTGCTGTCGAGTCAATTACGCTGCTTGCTAATCATTTTCCTGTTAGATTTAATCCCCAGTCTATCATTATGCATTATGATATGGATATTCAACATCAGCCGGTAACAGACAAGTCTGATCTCCGTCAGATAAGAGAAAAGTGGTTGACGGATAAGCCTGCTGAATTTCCCTGTGATAAAACTGGTAAGAAGAACATTTTCAGTGCTGTTCAACTTCCTACTGGCTGTTTCACTGTGAACGGGGGGGATGATGCTATGGAACGCTCTTATGACGTTATCATCAAGCCTGTTGCTGAATTACAACTTTCGAAGCTGAGTGAATATTTGAGTGGACATATTCCTCGTGATGTACAAGGGATGGCGTTGTCCTTAGATTACTCAGTCTTGGCACTCCCGGAACCAATGCTAGTGCTAGACTATCTGAAGGAATATCTTAAAGAACCTAACGAAGTTACTTTCAAGAACAACCGTCAAGCTGCACAGGTTGCATTAAAGGGTTTGAAAGTCGGAGTAATTCATCGTCATACCAACCAGAAGTTTATTATTAAGGAACTAACTGACCTCGACACTCATAAACTCACTTTTCCCCTTAGAGATCCAAAAGGCAAAGATTCCACAACCGAAGTTTTTCTTGTTGACTACTTCAGGGATAAATATCAGCGGGAGATTCAGTTCAGGGATTTTCCTTCATTAGTTATTGGAAAAGGTAATAAGATAAACTATGTCCCCATGGAATTATGTGTCTTGGTTGAGAAACGACGGTATCCTAAGGAGGATTTGCATAAGGATACAGCCTTGATTTTGAAGAATATATCACTAGCCCAACCCCAACAGGCAATATGTGAAATGGTACAGGCTAAAGATGGGCCGTGCGGGTATGTGAATTCCTTAAATATGTGTTATTCATCTGAGATTTTGTTGCTTCCTCTTGAATTTCTTCTTTCCCACTCCATGTGATCAAATATCATGGATTTAATTTCTCTGCCTTTTATGTGTGGTTTTCTTGGCTTGCATGTTTGTTGTGGCTTCATTTATGGAGTTTCCACTTTTTGTTGAAATAGTACTTGAGTAGTTTTTCTGATTTCTGTTGTATTTTTAAATGAAAACTTTATGGGGTTTTGAATGGTAATTCTTAGTAAGCTAGCTCATCCTATGGCTGTCTTGCTAGTTGAGTCTCTTCTAGATTTTAAGGGCTTGTTCTTCTTGATGTTTTCATTTGAGCAATGGTCTTTCGGAATAACCTCTCTATATATCTCCATTAATTAGTGGTAAGGTCTGCGTGCATTCTACCCTCCTTGTGGGATCTCACTTGGTATGTTGTTTGCATCATGAGTTTGTTGATGATATGCTGATATATGTTATTAGCATCTGTTGTTACAGAGTTTCTTTTTTCCTTCTAATTTTCAATTGATTATTGCAGGGCTATCACCGGTAATTTTGAGATTGGAGTTGATAGGAACATGACCTGTGTTCTCGGTCGTATTCTTCCTCCCCCTGATTTGAGGCTAGGCAGTCAAAGTCGACATCATGTGAATGATAAATGCCAGTCGAATCTTGTTGGGAAATCTGTGGTGGAAGGTAAGGAAATTCGACGATGGGCTTTGATAGATTTTAGCTCTAAGAATGACAGGGACTTGAAGCGACAAGTTGATGTATTTGTTGACAAATTGAAAGATCGGTACTTAAGGTTGGGTATTAATATGGAAGAACCTGCTGTAAAACATTTCACACACATGAATGAACTCTCTGCAGTTGGTAAGGTTGAAAAACTCCTCAATGATGTAGTTAATGAAGCTAGCCAGAAAAACAAGGGTAAACTTCAAATGATAGTTTGTGTTATGGCATCAAAGGATAATGGATACAAATATCTTAAATGGGTCTCTGAGACCAAAATTGGCATTGTAACCCAGTGTTGCTTGTCTTCTAATGCCTACAACAATGCAAAGGATCAATTTCTTGCAAACCTCTGTTTGAAGATTAACGCAAAACTTGGAGGCAGCAATATGGAACTTATGGAAAGACTCCCTAATTTCGGAAGTGAAGACAATGTCATGTTCATTGGAGCTGATGTTAATCATCCTACTGGCAAGGATAGTGACAAATGTCCATCCATAGCAGCTGTTGTTGCCACCGTCAACTGGCCAACTGCTAATAGATATGCCGCTAGAGTTCGTCCTCAGGAACACAGGACTGATAAGATTCTAGAGTTTGGAAAAATGTGTAAAGACCTAGTTGATACTTATGCGAAACTCAACTCGGTTAAACCAAACAAAATTGTTGTTTTCCGTGATGGTGTGAGTGAGAGTCAGTTTGATATGGTACTCAACGAAGAGTTGAAGGATTTGAAAGAAGCTATATACGAAAGTGATAAGTATCGACCATCAATCACTCTTGTTGTGGCTCAGAAGAGACACCATACGCGACTATTTCCTAAGGTGGGAAATGTGCCTCCGGGAACTGTTGTGGATACACAGATCGTTCATCCATCTGATTTTGACTTCTATCTTTGCAGCCACTTTGGACAGTTGGGTACTAGCAAGGCAACTTACTATCATGTTCTACATGATGATAATGGCTTCAGTTCTGACCGCTTACAAAAGCTTATATACAACATGTGCTTCACTTTTGCGCGGTGCACTAAACCTGTTTCACTTGTTCCACCAGTTTACTATGCAGACCTTGTTGCTTACAGGGGACGGATGTTCCAAGAGGTGCTTATGGAGATGAACGCTTCTAGCTCTACAACTTCATCTGTTTCATTTGAACAAAGTTTCTATAAATTGCACAATGATTTACAGAACATAATGTTTTTCGTCTGATGGCAGACCCGTCAACTTTTTGATCTCCTTCACCATTCCCACACTGGGGAGGAGATGATTGTCTACATTTTGGAGATGCCCATTTCCAAACGCATTTGAACCTCCTTTTCGTCGTCGACGTAGCAAAGGAGTTTGTGCGTGAATCTAATGGGATTTCATGCTTCTTTTATTCTTTATGGTGTGAGTTTATGCATTGATGTCTTAATGCTCTGACGTTTGATTATGTTTTATTTACTTTGAGATGTTTTGTGTTATGTATTCTAAGACAAGTTAAATTTCGTCTTAATAAATTTGTGTTTGAGTTATTTGATGTCTCTCTATTAGTTATTCAATGTGATAGCATTTTCTCACTTCGTGTTTTCCCATATGGAGCTAATGGGAAAATACACTTAATATAATATTATACCATCAATCTAACCGACCATTCAAGTTAGGATTGTAAAATGGCGGGTTGGGGATCACGACTCGTCTAATTTGACCTATTTAATTTCAATAATTTTAACATATTATTACTTGCCTTTTATAATTACAACTTGAATTTCAAAGAAAATAAAAAGTATAAGTTAGAAAACAGATAAATTCTAAATGATATAAAATAGAGTTGAATCATCCCTAGTTCAAGTGAAAAAATTAGAGAGACTCACTCCAACGAAAAAAAAAGAAAAAGTAATTCGAAATAGTATGAGGACAAGAGTTTGAACTTATATACGAACAAAGAGTTTTACACTATAACTCAGTAAAACTATCCACAAGCAACATCCAAAAAAAAAAACAAAGAGGTTTTATAATCTTATAAACAAGGTAAGGTAAGGTGCCTTGGAAGATTTGGCCAAATAAGATTTTACCGTTTCATTTTTGAGATAAGTGGGTTAAAACACACCTAAATTATACCTTTTTTTTTAGTTTCATACCCAAACTATTGAAAGTGTGAGAAACACACCTAAACTATTTCACTTTAGTTTGAAAAACACACCTCAAATGAAATATGATAGTGTGTATTACACTCTCTCAATTTTTTTTAAAATGCCACATAGATTGCCACATGGAAACAAATTCCACCATGTCAAAAGATTAAAGTTTAACCTTCAACGTGTAGAAGCATCTTTCTCTGTTTCTTAGCTGAGTCTCTTTGGTGTGTGAAAATTTTGAGTAAATTAGGGTTTTAACTATTAATTCACAAATTCATCATGGTTTGAAGGTTGGTTACTCATTTGTCAAAAAATGTTAGGGTTCTAATTTTTGTCTCAAAATATTAATGATTTTGTATAATATTTTAGGTTTTGATTCATACCATCTTAAAAGAGTTGAAAGGAGAAGAAATTGACTACATAAGGTACTCTTTCTTTACTCCTGAACTTAATTTTCGTACTGGTGGCGATTTTTAGCTACTGATTTCATGAACAATAGTTGGCTTATTAAACTTTGCATATTTCAATTTTTCTAAGGTAATGGGCACTAAGTACGTAAATTTGAGGTTTCACATCGGTGGTATACTTGTGAGTGAGGTAGGACCTGCTTATATTGGGGGGAAAAAGAATATGCCTTCAATGTTGATATAGACCATTTTTCTATTCTGGAAGTGAATGACTATTGCAGGGATTTTGGGTTACCATATAGAAAATATATATATTGGAGCTGCTCAAGTTGACAATTTGGTAGAATTGGTTAAAGATAGGGATTTGTTGGTCTTAGCCAATTTGTTGGTTGCTGGGGGTACTATGGACATTTATATCTGCCATAAAGGGGAAGTTTTTATCAAAACAGCACATGTGACCAATGAGTCTTTTGAGACCACATGCAATGAAGTTGATAGACCTAATAAATAATCTACCAACAAAGCTGGTGAAGGTCTCAATGCACCTTTAGGGAAAGAAATAACATTTATTGATGGTAGAGATCAAATTGTCGGGGTCCAACAATCAAATCTGATAGAAAATGGCAGCAGAAACACAAATGAAGTTGAAGATGAATATAAGTTTTCTAGTGAAGATGAAGATTCAGAGGAAGATTCCGTAGAAATTATTGTGCATAGTGATGCTGAAAGTGATGAGAATGTTGACTTTTCTAGTGACGAGGATGGTTATGGGAGTGATATTCATGAAGAGCTGAGCATAGTTAAGAAGGATTTGAAAGCATATTTTGAAGAAAAAAAAAGAGCCCAAGGAAAAAAAAAATTGCTGAGTGTTTTCTGGGAGAAGTTGGCATAGATCGTGGTTTTGAAGACATTGATAAATCCAAGAAAAATTTAACTGGTAAGCTAGTTGGTGATGAGCCTTTTTACGACAGTTCTGATGCCGATAGTTTTGAAAGTGAAAGTGAGGGGGAAATAGATGTTGAAAGATCTGATATTTTAAGGGCAAGAAAGAAAGACAAAAGGGTCTCATATGATCTAACAATGAAAAAATTTGTGTGGCAACTTAATATGGTATTTGAAAATGTGAAAAAATTCAGAGAAGGTTTGAGCAAGTATGCAAATTGAGAGAGGTTGTCAACTGGATAAGATCCACAATGATCAAAGAAGGGTCAGAGTAAAATGCAAAGCTAATGGCTATCCTTGGATACTTTATGCAAGCAAAGATTTCAAATCTTCTGATTTCATTATAAAAACCTACAATCCTAGACATAAGTGTTATAAGACCAATACCAACACAATGTGCTACTCTAAGTTTTTGGCTAAGTACTATAAAAGTAGAATTGTTTCTCAACCTTGCATAAAGGGATGTGAAATGCAAGATTTGGTCAGGATAGACATGGGATTGTATGTTGGTAAGTTCGTGTGTTTGAAGGCCAGAAAAATAGTGTTGAAAAAGATAATGGGTGATCATGTTGCCGAGTTTAGTAGAATCTATGACTACAGAGATATGCTTCTTGAATCAAATCCAGGAAGCACTTGTGTGGTGAAAGTGACAAATTGTGATGATGGAAAAAAATTCTTTCATTCCTTTTATATTTGTTTTTCAGTTTTGAAAAAAGGATTCATTGAGAGTTGTAGAAAGTGCATTGGGTTAGATAGTTGCTTTTTGAAGGGAATATCTAAAGGCCAGCTACTTGTTGCTATTGCAAAAGATGAGAATAATCAGATGTTCCCAATAGCATGGGCTGTTGTTGGAACTGAAAGTAGAGAAACTTGGACTTGATTTTTGAGAATCTTGAAATCTGATTTGGACATTAATGATGAAGGAGAAGGATTGACTATCATAAGTGATATGCAAAAGGTACGATTTTTAGCCTCTGATTTCAGCTATTTTAGCCAATATTAGCTGCTATTTTCAGCTTTTTTAGCTACTAATTTAAGCTCTTTTTTAATCTCTGTTTCATCTCTTATAATCCAATTTTAACTATTGATTTCATGATTTTTTAGCTGATGTGTTATAAGTAGTTTTTAACTATTGATTTCAGCATTTTGTAAAGACCTTTTGATAGTCCATAACAACATTCTATCTTGTCCATAAAATTAGAAACTCTAGCGGTACTTTGTTATTCAACTTGTTTAGCTACTGTTTTTTTTTTGCTACTATTTTCATCCCATTTAGCTTTAGTTGTTAAGTGATTTTAGTCTTAGTTGTGCATATTCTTCACTTTTGATGCCACACTTGTATTGGATTAACAAAAATACACTACTTTTGGCTAATTCAACATTCCCTCATTGACATTTTTGAAGAGTCCAAGCAACATATATTTTAGTTATTGTTTTGAGTGATTTTAACCACATAAGTTTTTCAAGGATTATATTTAGTTGCTCAGGAGTTGCTTCCAGAATGTGAACAAAGAATGTGTGCAAGACATATACTGCAAACTGGTCAAAAAACTGGAAAGGTGTTGAGGAAAGAAAGAGGTTTTGGGCTTGTGCTAGATCAACATTTGAAGATGAACTCAGGAAGAACTTGGATAAATTAGCACAATTAGGCAAAGATATTTCTAATGACTTGGCAAACTTCAATCCTAATAGATGGTCCAAAAGCACAGTTTAGGACATCCTCAAAATGTAGACAATGTGGATAACAATATGGTTGAAAGTTTTAATGCTTGGGTGTTGGGTGCTAGGCACAAGACTATCATCAATATGCTTGAAAAATAAGGAAAAAGGTACTGAATAGATTCACTAAAGTGATAACATTTGTAAATAGTTGGACTCATGACATATTTCCAATGGCAATGTTGGTGCTAAATACAAATGTGAAGAAGTCAATGAGGGTGGAAATTAGTTGGAATGGTGACATTGGGTATGAAGTGAAAGATAGTCCATATATACATGTGGTTAACCTAATTCAAGAAACTTGCACTTGTAGAAGTTGGGGATTGAAAGGGATTCCTTGTGCACATGCAATAGCAGCCATACATCACGATGAAGCTAATCTCCTTGACACGATTTGTAAGTGGTACAAAAAAGAAACCTACCTGAAAGCTTATAAACATTTTTTACAACCAGTAACAAACATAAAGATGTGGCCCGAGACATCGAATTCAAAAGTTGAGCCACCTCATGTTAGGAAAATGCCAGGAAGGCCTGGTAAAAAAGAAAGAAGGAACTTGGAGAGGTACCAAGTGCCGGAAAGCTTCCAAAGAGGGGGAAAATCGTGAGTTGCTCCGCTTGTAAGTCAAAAGGTCACAATATAAGAACATGTCCAAACAAACCTCCAGCCACTTCAGAGGTACATTTGATTTCTATTAATGTTTATTTATAGTGTATTAATACCGTTAACACTTTCAAAATTATTCTTTGCATAGGGTATTACTACATCACAAGCATCTGCCAGTAGTAAAAGAAGTGGCAAGCAAAAATCTCACCCCACTCAAGCAGTACAACAATCTCAATCTTCTGAACCATCTCAAGCAATAGTGCAAAGTGACAGTGGTAATAGAAAAGGTGCAAATAATGCATTTAAAAGGCCAAGAGTAGTGGGTCATGGAGTATTTGTGAGCAAAGATGATTTTATTTGTGCCGAGGTAAAAACGAGAGTTAATAATCTTATATTCTTAATTAAACTTCTTAAAAATAATTTAATGACTCTTTATTACTTTACAACAAGGAAGATCTATTAGTAGGGTAATCAAGAGTGGAGCACAAGAGAAACTGATAAGTTCAGCTATTGTCACCGGTGACCTTGGGTATGCACCAAGTAAAGGTCTTAAATGAAAGGGGAAAAGTGCTATCACAGGAAGACAACTTCAACATAAAAGTGCTTTGCTTAGACAGAAGAACATCAAGTCACAAACTTCATCACAAGGTGCAACAAGAACTGAAGGTGTTTAGGGATGATGTGGCTGATTTTCATGTGGCTCGAACTATTTTTAA